AGGACCCTTAAAAATGGCCGCTGTGGTCATTAAGGTCACGTGGTTAGAGCAGAGCAGACCCCAGGCCTCCCACGACCATTTACACAGAGCAAAGAGGACCTCAGACCCCAAAACAGAAAGGACTTTGATACCGTGAACATCAGAAACTGATCTTGCAGAAGCAGTAGATCACCTGGTGAGAGTTAAAGGCCTGGTGACATTTGGTCTCCATTCTATTGCTTATTGTCCCCACCCCTCATCTCACTTTGGACTTCACTGCAGCTGTGGTAGAGTGCCACCATGCAGGGCCACCCTGCGGTCCCTAGGTGCCACTCTGCGTTTCCACCTCAGAGCTTTCTCCAGGGCCCAGCAGAAGGAAGGTCATGGAGCTTGGGACAAGTGTTCAGTCCAGCAAATGTTCAGTTATCCATCGCTCTGTAACGAACCACTCACAAACTTCACAGATTACTGTGGTCTGAGTACGGTTTGTCCCCTAAAGGGACATGTACTGGGGGCTTGGTCCGTAATGTAATGGTCAATACCATTACAGGTCAGGGAGAACTCAGGAGGTGGTGCCTAGTGGGAGGAGGTTAAGACACTGGGGAGCCACCTCGGGAGGGATTAATGCCAGTATCATAGGACAAGGTTAGATCTCAAGGGACTAGATTAGTTACACCAGCAGCACGTGACTCCTCTATCTCGCTCTCTTCCCCCTCCTCCCACCCTCCTCTACTCCTACCTTGGGATGCTAGCAACCTTGAGCTCTCACCAGAAGCCAGTGCCAGTGCCATGCTCTTAGACCTCCAGAACGTGAGCTAAATAAACCTCCTTTCTTGATAAGATACTTGGTCTCAGGTATTTTATTATGGCAACACAAAATAGACTAAAGCACAAGCTTACAACAGCAACAATCATTTATTTGCTCCTGGTTCTGCAATTTGTAGGATTGTTGGTCTCTCTGCTCCACAAGGAGTTGGAATGTTCAAGATGGTGGCTCAGCTGGGCCAATTCTCCCTCCAGGTGGGCCAATTCATCTCCAAGTGGCTAGTTTGGGTCTTCACTGCATGTGTCTCAAAGTACTTGGCTTTCTTACACTGTGGATGACTGCCCCCAGAGCACAGAAGTGATACCTGCCAGGCCTTCTTAACACACAAGGATTCAGAGATGACAGAAGGTCGCTTTCACCATAATCCACTGATCAAAATAGCCCTAGGGCTGGCCCACACTGGGGGGCCGGGGAGGGACTCTACTTCCTGTTGGGGCAGCAGCCGGCTACTCTGCAGTGAAGACTGTGGAATGGGTGGTCTTGGGGTGGGTATCATTGGGTGGCACAGGGGCAGGAAGGTAGGGATCAGCTCCCTAGGGGCCATTTTTAACCACCAAAGGTGGGGGGGAACTCATGGATAATGAAGAAGGCCCCATCCTTCAGGCAGGGGACTCAGGGGTCTTCTGCAGGGCCTTCCACGGGTCCCAGCAGGACTGAGCCCAGGCTGCCCATGCTGGAATTAGCTTAAAAAATGTGCCTTTGAGGCCTTTTCCTCTTTCTCCATCCCTCTCCTCCTGTCTTTCTGCTGCTTCTTCTGACCCTCGCCTGGACCTGGCCCGAGGCCTTGCTCTCCCAGGAAAGCAAAGCAGATGGCTGGCTTTCCTCACTTGAGAAAGGCCCTTAGGTTGGGCTCTAAATGACTGCACCTGGCTCCTGGGGCCGCTGAGTAATCCTGGGAAGGAATGGGTGTGAAAGGGCTCTGGAAATGGGAGGCTGGCGGGGCGTGGCTGGTGTTTGGGAGCAAAAGGCCCAGCTCCCAGATTACTCCTCGGTGGTGAGAGGTGAAGACAGGGAGGTGTGGTGAATGCGCAAGGGTAGAGATGATCCTTCCCCGTGCTGGGAAGGGAGGTGTGCTGTGTCCCCATCCTGCCCTCCAGACTCAGGTGACTTGGCACGGGATGAGGTGACTCACCAGGCCACCTCAGCCTGCCCAAGGTCCCTCAAGATCATCCGCCCGGTTTTGCTGGGACTCGCCCCCGGGGAACAAGCCTTGGCCCCTGACTTGGCCTCTGCCCCAGGAACAAGGACTGAATTGCACTGGGAGGGGCCAGGATGGGTTCATTTATCCCGCATTTAGGAGACACAGGAGAGCAGAGCCCTTGTCCCAGTGGGCCCTGGAGTTCGAAAGCAAACGTGAACAAGCCACCCCCTGCCACCTCCAGTGACTCCTCCATCAGGGAGGGGGCATGAGCCCAGGGGAGAGGGAACTTAACGTCACAGCACAGGGACAGAGGCAGCGCGCTGAGGGAGATGCTGTGAATCCGAGAGGGCAACAGGGACTTGTGGATAGCCACCCTGAAAAGCTGGTGTGCAGTCGATCCCAACAGGGTCCAAGGACGTGCCCAGGACAGAGAGGAAGGGTGTGGGCAGGTGCACCAGCACGGGCAACTTGGCAGGAGCCCAGGGAAGGGGCTGAAGGGTGAGAGGGAGGACAGAGAGAGCAGGCCCCACGAAGAGCAAGGAGGCACCCAAACAGTTTCAGGGAGGAGAGGGGGGCGGGGCCAAGGGCAAGCTAGGGTAAGTGTGCGGGAGTCAGTATTAGGGGCAGGGAGGCCACCTAAGGGGACTCCTTCATTCACTCCTCAGGCACCTACGGAGGCCCTGCTGTGGGACCCAGGTGGTGGGGACCAGGATGGGCAGAAGCGGCAGAGGTCAGGGAGGCGCTCAGAGAATCACACAAATACAGCCTGACAGTTCACACAGCGGCATCCTGTTCCCGGGCCAGTGGTGCAGGCATTTGGAAAGAGGGGAAGTGCTATTTCAAGAACGGAGCAGGCAGATCGGCAGAGCTGAGATGAAACCTCAAGGGTCCCCAGACAGAACGCTATTCCCAGAGCCCAGGCCCAGGGCAGCGCAGCCCTGCCTGCCCCAGGCTCCAGACCGATGCCGCAGGCCCCAGTGATAACCGAGAAGGCCCTTCCAGCACGGGCGGGAGATCCTTTCTCCATCTTGCCATAGTGACTTTCCCAGGGCCACACAGGAAGTCAGGGGCACAGCTGGGCCACGGAGCATTTGCACTGGTTTCTCCCTTCCTGAGCTTGGGGCCTTCTCAGATTGCAGCATCTTCGGAGGACAGAGCCGCCTCCTGCCTCCATCAGACCTGGGGTCCTCTGAAGAGGTCTCTCCCATAGATCAGGAACCCCCAGAGGGTGAAGATAGGAATGCAAATGGCTGAACTTGGGGAGCGCTGTGCACTTCACTTTCCAGATTTGTAAAGTGGGGCGAACAGCAACATCTGTGGGCAGAACACAATGCCAAGCACAGACCAGGAAAATCGGCCAGAAATGAGAGCACAAAGAATGAGCATGAAATGAGGACACAAGGGTGAATGTTCCCTGGGTCCTGGCACCCCATGAGCCCAGCACCCAGCCTGGTGCAGACCAGGTGCCCAGAAACAAGAGCTGAACAGACGGATGCAGGGCGAGAGCAGTGGTCCTGGTGGAGAGTGAGCATCACCAGTAGGATGGGCAGCAGAGGCTGCAGGGAACCCTGCAAAGAGGGGCACTTCAGGACCACTGTGGGCCTGCAGGTCTCATTCATCCAGGACTCTGACCCATGTTAATTGCATCTGTGGCTTCCACAGGGGGCTTCCCTGCCAGGTCTCCATTGACTTCCACACCACCTGCTCTGCACCTCCCGGCCTATCCACCTGGCAACCCCTAGCACTTCAGTCCTCCCCACAGGCCTGGTCCCCTCAGGAACTTGGGGCCTCCAGGGCCCTGCTCTTTACCACAGCTGCTGTCCAGCCTCCTCTACCTCCCACCTACTCTTCAAGAAACTTCCAGACTAAGTTTGGTCACAGAGGTCCAGGACCGCAGCTTCCCCTGGCCTCAGTCTGTGCTTCGTCACCCAGGAGCTTGAGTCTGCAGTCGAGCCTCCTGCTGGTACCAAGAAAGCCCTGCTCCCCTAGTCTTGCCTCCAGCTAGGAGACGGGGCCTGCAGGGTGAGCCTTCAAGGGCTCTGAAACGGTCCAGTATGAAATAAAGGCCGTGTTTAGTGTGTGGAGCTGTTACCTTCAGGATGGAAGGGGCTATGGTAAAACCAGAGAGCCCTGGTGTGCGTATGCGTGTGTGTGTGTGTGTGTGTGTGTGTGTGTGTGTGTGTGAGACAGAGAGAAATCTGAGGGAAAAGTGTGTTGTGGAGGAAGGGATAGTTATCAAGCATAGTCGAGCCTCGCGATGGATGGGGGATTTGTTCCAGTGCAATTCCAAACCCACCATGCTCAAAAGCCCCTTCTGTCAAATGGCACAGTACTCCCAGATACCCGGCACACATCCTCCTGTGTTTAAATCACCTGCAGGTCACCCACAACGCCCAATATGCTGTCAATGCCTCACGAGCAGCTATCACCCTGTGCCTTTCAGGGAATGACGACAAGACAGTCCACTCACTACTGACCCTACTATCTCAGGCCCAACTCCCCAGGACCCGCCAGCCAACTCGGAACACTAACTCACACTTTCAACCTCAGCGGGTTGTATCTGTGCATCTGCCGAATCCCAGTGCCCTCATGAAAACTGTGGCTCACCCTTGGAATCGCGAACTCTTCTCGGAGACGGAGGCTCCGCTGAGCCTGGGCTTCTTCTACCTTCTTCCCAGTCCTCAGTGCCCACGGCCTGGCTGGTGCTTCCTGCCCAGCTTGGAGCTCAGAAGGCCCGGCCTCTCTGAGCCCTCTTGCCCCCAGCCACTGACGGCCCTTCTCGTTCCATCACGGTGGCCCAGGGCACTGTGTCCTTTTCTTTATAAGCTGGGAACAGAATTCCCACCTGATAGAGGTGCTGCTTTATTGGGCGAGTCTTCAGAACAGCGCCTGCTTAGTGGTAAGAGGCAGAATGGGCCACCACCCTCCCGGGTTCCCCTGCCCCCAGCCCTCTCCCACAATGCTCCTCTCCATCTGCACCTCTTCAGCCTGCTTCTCTCGCCACCCTGTTCCCCAGACGTGCCCCCTCTCCCTAGCACAGAGCACACAGCAAGCTGGCCTGTCCACATTTTATTGTAAAAATGGCAAAATAAGTTACATTTGACGTCATCGCCAGTATGTACATACAGTGTGATTCCAGGACAGCCAGCAGTGAGATGAGCTCACGGAACCTTTCACAGAACAACACGGGCTGTTCCTCCCGGCCTGTGCCAGCCGCCAGCCTTGGCAACCGCTTAGAGAATGGGGGGTGCGGACAAGGGACCCCACCGGGGTCCCATGCTGGGGGGCTCTGCCCCATCCTCCCCCACAGAGAGGGGCAGTGGGGTAAGAGAGGAAGGCTGAGAGGCACAGAGGGTGGCAGCCTGGTGGCTGCCACCAATACCGCTCTCCACCTCTGCCCCCCGAGCTCAGTGTCACCCCCCTAACCATGATGGGGTCACAGCTCTTGACATATGGCCTTGGCTCATGTCAGCCCGAAAGGCCCAGACAGCGGGGTACACGCTGGGCACCCCACTTCTCCACACCCTGCTCTTTACTGGCTCTGAAGCCAACAACAGAGTCAGGTATAAAAACAGCAGTTCATTAGGAAATAGCAAAAACACTCAGGGCACAGTGAGGCAGCCTAGGAGAGCATCACTGAAAACCCAACAGCTGAGGCAGCGGGGAGATCTCCCCACCTCTCACCAGGAACAGTTTCACATTACCTTTCTCCCCAGCCTAGCGCTTCCCTTCTTCACACACGCGCACGCCGCACGGGAGCTAGAGAGGAGCTCCGTTCACATTTTTGGTCACAGCCCATTTGTGGGCCAAGGACAGTCTGGGCCTGCGCCATCGGGCTGGGGATGGAGAGTGAGCTACCGGCGGGCAGCAAGGTCCTGAACTGGGCCTGGGCACAAGGACAGGCCGGCAGGGGGGCAGGGGCTGGGTCCTGCGGCTCCTGGGTCCTGAGGAGACGCCTCGCCCCATTAGGGCTGTCCCCACCAAACCCTGCGAGCTGAAAAGGCAGAAACAGACCTCGCAGGCTCCTCCTGCCCTCCTGGAAATGTCTAGCTCAGGGCCAGCCCGCAGAGCTGCTCAGTAACAAACACTGGTGAACTCAGCTGAGGGCTGGGCCTCAAAACCCTGTGAGGGTCACCTGGGAGCCGGTGAGGAACCATGTAGGCACAGGGCCTCACGGGGTCAGCCGCCCGCAAGCCTCCGACCACTGAAAACACGGCCCCGCTCAGGACAGCAGCATCTCCACTGCCAGGCGCCCGCCGAGTGGCTGGAGAGCAGAGGCCCTGTCCTGGGCCTGCACCTCATCCACCCGAGCATCTGGCTGGAAGGGACAGGAGAATAAGGCCCCCGGCCCCCCACTCCCGTTGCAGGGCTGGCCCCTGGGTCAGGCGGGGTGGGGAGCCAGGCCTGCCTCATGTGCCCCTGGGGCTGTTGGCTTTATTGTACTCGTTCATCAGCTGCTCATAAGGCACAGACAGCTCCGACTCAGTGGTGAAGGTTGACTCATCCGACGAGGGGAACTCGCCCATGCTCAGGGGCGCCTGGGCCGTGGCCCCCTCCTGGGGCTGCGCCTCCCCTGCCAGGTTTTCCTCTAGCGAGGACTTGGAGGTCTCCTCATCCAAGAGGCCGGCCTCCTCGCTCACGAAGGTGATGCTGGCGTCCTGGAAGATGAGCGGCCGGTAGTCCAGGGCCTCCCAGGGCTCTCCCTCCTCGCTGATGCGGTCCAGCTGGTTGCTGAAGGCCTCAGAGGTTGGGGAGCCATCCTCAGGGTCCTCAGCCTCCTCACCAGGGGCCCTGGACACGTGGCCTTTGGTCCTGAGGGTCTGTGACACCTCCTCCAGGCTGGGCACCCGGTTCTTGGAATAAACCACCAGGGGCACCTGGGATGTGGGGATCGCTGGCAGCCCAGCGCCTTGGGACCCCAGCCGGGGGCCTGGTCCCGGGACCCTCTCCCCACCCGCACTGGTCTTCATTGCTTTCTTCCCGATCTGCTTGATGAGGTCATTGTAGGTTTCCTCCTTCTTGGACAGAAAGCTGAAGATGTTGACATCCTTGGAGGCAGCATTTCCGGCCATCTGCAGGGCCTTCCGGGAGTGTGGGGAGCTTTCAAAGGACTCCTTCCGCCGCCGCCGCCTCTTCTTAATGGCTTTGTGAACTTCCACAAACATGCTCACCTTCCAGTTGACAAAGAGAGACAGCCAGGCCAGCCCTAGGTAGATCCAGAGCTCCACAAAGTAGCGGTACAGGGCGTGGTAGTTGGCGCTGGGGTTCACACCTGAGAGAACAGGAGGCCCAGAGAGTGAGCAGGGGTCAGCAGGGCCCCAGACACACACGGCGGCCGGAGCAGAGCTTAGCCCTGGACCATCCCCACCCCACCGTCTTCCCAAAATCCACAGCCCACCACTCATGCCCCCTCCGAGCCCATCTCTGGGCCTCAGTTTCCTCAATTACAAGAGTGGCCAGGGATTTGGCTCAGTGGTTCCGCCACTTGCCTTGGGAGCGCAAGGACCTGAGTTTGATCCCTGGTACCAAAAAAAAAAGGGGAAGAGAGAGGAAGTTGTCAGGCGTGGTGGCACACACCTGTAATCCTAGCACTGGGAGGCTGAGGCAGGAGGATCACCATGAGTGAGGCCAGCCTGAGCTATATAATCAGTCTAAGACAGAAGCAAGTTACATGGGAAAGCAATAAACACATGGGTGAAGAAAAAGCCTGTGCTGAGTATATGGCCCACACCTGTAATCCCAGTACTCTGGGAGGATGATGCAGGAAAATTCTAAATTTGAGCCCAGCCTGGGCCACCTATCGGGACTCTGACTCAAAATAAAGAGTAAAAAAAAAGGGCTGGGGATGTAGCTCAGTGCAAAGGCTGTAGGTTCTAATCCTCAGTAGCGCACGCGTGTGTGTGTGTGTGTGGGGGGGGAGAAGCAAGGCGAGAAGTAGCCCACGAGTAGGTGTGTTTTGGTCCCTTACCCCCCAACTGGGGTGTGTGAGAGACAGCTCCGTTAGGGGAGGACCGGAACCGCGTGACAGGCCACTGGCAGCCAAGCTGCCGTCCTGGGGGAGCACTGTGAACCAGACCAGTGCTTGGGTCGAGATGACCCAGGAAGCCTGACCCGGGTAGGACTCGTTCAGAGCTGTCTTCATTCTCCTCCTCCAAGGCGGCGCAGCTCTACCTCCCTGACTTCCTGTTCCGCCTTCCTAGGACTGGCTCTGTCCACTCTGCCGCCCTCCACTCTTGAGACCTGCTCCAGGGGCCTGCGAGCCCACCGCCCACAGCTCTCCCGGCTGTCCGACAGCCCAGGGCCATCTGAGATCTCTTGTGACTTTGGCCTTACAGCCACATGGCCCTATATCCTGCCACCCTCTCAGACTGCAAGCGGCTTAGAGAAGTGCCTAGAGGAGGGGTCGCCTCCTGCCTCAGACTGCAAGCAGCAGACCTCAGGACCTCAGGCCCGGTGGCAGTGTGGCGAGGACAGTGCTGAGGTCCTACCCTCTGCACTCGGGAATACGTAAACCGGCATTGTTCCCTACCATCCCCGTGGTGAGCACTTTTCCATACCAATTTTACAGATGAAAATATAGAGGCAAGAGCCTGGCATCCTGCTGGAGCTGAGGGAAGAGGACCGCTGAGCTTCCCCAACACAAAGGAAGGCTTCCTGGCCGGCTGTGGGCCTAGGCGCCGGACAAAGGCAGGACTGTGCTTCTGGATTCCTTTCCAAGACAGCAGTTAGCCCGGATTCGCCAGGCTGGTGGAGTGTTCAGGCCACTCCTGTTCCTCCCACCCCGCACACAATGGGGGCGACCTCCTCTGCCCTCTGGGTCAGGATCTGGGGCAAAGCACAGGGCACGGAGCAGAGGTGGGGGCTGGCCCGCAGGGCACAGGCTTGGCTGGGTCAGCAGGCCTGAGCCTGGTGTCTCGGGGATGAAGACCAAGAGCCCTGCAGGCCACGGGCTCAAGCGCGGCAGCGCCCGGGGCTCACACAAGGTGGTGAGAGAGCCTCGGGATTAAGTGGAGGAGGAGCAGGAAGAGGAGGGACAGGGCTGAGGGCAGGGCAGCTGGGAGAAGGCCGAGCTGCCCGTGGCCAGGGCAAAGTTGAGGGTTCGGAATGAGAGCCCTGGGGCGGCTCCGGGCTCTCTCAGGGTAAAAGGCCCAGCCCTTCAGGCCCCGGAGAGGAGGGGAGGGAGCGGGACTCACCAGCCACGAAGTCACCGAAGCCGATGGTGGAGATGGTGATGAAGGAGTAGTAGAGGCCCTCGATGTAGTTCCACTCCTCGGTCACCATGAACACGAAGGGCGGGATCACCAGGTGAACCAGGACGCCCCACAGGATGAAGATGGCCGTGCACGTGATCTGTGCCTTCCGCTGGGGGGGGGGGGCGGAGGGAGACCCAGTCAGAGGCGGCAGAGTCCGGAAACCCAGCAGGGACACCAGAAGCCCGGAAACCCAGCAGGGACACCAGAAGCCCAGCAGGGACACCGGAAGCCCAGGGCGGGCGGAGGATGCTCCCAGTCTGACCCGTGGGGCGGGGCAGGGGTGCGGAGACGGCCACCTCCCCCGGCTCCGCCCAGCACCCAGAACCGCACGTACCAGGCTCACGCCTCTCCTGGTGAGGAACTGGCCTAGCCTCTTGGCTCGGCCCCCGAAGAACTTGCCCAGGGCACTGATCCACGTCAGGCAGAGCGGCGCCCCGAAGAGACCATAGAAGACGCAGAAGAGGCGGCCGGCTGGGGTCTTGGGAGCCACATTGCCATAACCTGAGGGAGGAGAGGGCAGGGCTGAGGACCCCGGGCCTCACACACAACCGGGCGGGCCGCTTCCTAAGGCCAATGGACACTGACCGAACAATAATGCAGTGGACCCTCGGCAGACTTGACATACAAACAACTTGAGTTATGACCAGAATTTTAGTTTTAACTCACAACCAAAGTCTTGAGTTACAACCCAAATGCTGGCTGCTTGTGCTTCCAGACGGTCTCTGAGACAGATTTAACCCTTAAAGAGTTCTGGAAGGAACATGACAACATTCTTTCCTGTGTGGGGTTCACTGAGAAATCCTGGGCCAGTGTCTCTCTAAGGACACTGCGATCTGCCTGTATACAGGAGAGAGACTTTGAAGGCTGTGTAGAGGAGCCCGAGCCTTCAATTGACCAACCTGAGTTACAACCAGCCCTCGGGAATGAATTGAGTTCGTAAGTCAAGGGTCCACTGTACTTAAATAAGGCCATCATTTATACAGCAATCAAGATGGTACAGGCACAGTCTCCTCTGTCCCAGTGGAGCTCCTGAAGGCAGAGACTAAGCCTTCACCGTCAGCAGGCCCTCCACTGGCCCACACCAAACCACAGTGCAAATCGGACAGCAGACACCCCAATGGGAAGTCTCCAAAGATAGGCATTCTCAACCCACTTCCTTCCTAGGTAACGTCCCACATCAAGGTGCAGTCTCGTTCTCCTCCCTTCGCATCTGGGCCTCCTGACTTGCTTGACCACAGAAAGCAGTGGAAGTGGTGCTGGGTAGGCTAAGGTCTCACAAGCCTGCTGCTCCTCCAATTCTTCGGAAATGCTCACTTTGCGATTCTGGAGTGGCTGACCATGCAATGAGAGAATCAAGGTGTGTGCCGTGACCAATCTGTCCCATCTCCTGCAAGACTCTGGGCACTAGGCTGTGCAGCTCTTTCTGTTCAACATGCCCAGGTCAGGATCCATGGAAATGGTCTCGAAGCAAGGCCAGTCACCAAGGGCTTATGAACCTGACCAATCAAAAGGACAGACTGGCTGGCTGGATTTCGCCCCGAACAAGGCTGAGTCACCCGGGTTGGATTCCTGTATGATTCCCAGGAGAGAGGGCATGGAAGTGGGCACCCTTACCAATGGTGGTGATGACTGTGGCAGCAAAAATCATCGCATTGGGCCAGTTCCAGTTGTTGAAGGTCTGGTTCCCTGTAATGGCCACGCCTTGTCCCGCCGCATCGGATACTACCTGAAAAGAGAGCGAGACAACAAAGCTCAGAGCCAAGGCCATGTATTAGACTCCTTCGTTTGATCATCACAATAACAAGGTTGCAGTTGGTGTCTGATGTTGTACAGATGAGACATTTTATAGAGGATCGGAGGTTAAGCAACTCACTCAAGGCCACGAAGCAGGATAAAGGGTATGAACCCAAGCAACCTGACTCCTAAGTTAAACTTACCAGCACAAGCCAGAATCATGGAGAGAGCCTGTTAAACAGCCAGCTGGGCCCTACCCTCGGAGTGTGATTCAGAAGGTCTGAGAAAGGGTATTTGTTTTTTTTTTGGTATCCAGGATTGAACTCAGGACCCTGCGCTTGCGAGGGCGTGCAGGTGCCACCACACACGGACCACTCTGAGCACCACTACTCTATTCTGCTTCTCAGAGTCAGATGTGACACAGGCACACTGGAGGTCCCCTCCAGGTTACCCAGCAGAGGCCAGGTCCGCTCTTCAGCACCGGCCTGGGAAGACCTTGATCCCTTGGCCCACTGTACGGTGAGTGCTAAGGTCAGCTCGGTGCCCTGCCCTGTGACCTGTCCTCAGAGGGTATTCAGGGACCCACTGGCCCTCCTGTGCCCCATGACTAAGACTCATTCATGCTCTCTCCCTGTTGGCAGATCCCTGGCACCTCCCTGCCTTCTCTTTCCTCCTGGCTCCTTTGTTCTCTCTGCCCTGGGCTGAGCAATTATCTGGAGAGGAACAGGTCAGAGGACTGGAAGTATAATTTAGGGCAACTCAAAACTGTGCTATTAGTCCCCATACGAGATTCCAGCAACAGGACAGCAGGTGAGAAGCCACCTGGGAAGTCTGCTGGAAAGTCCAGGAAAGGCACCTTCTTCTCTGGAAATCCTGACAGGCACCAAACCTGTTCCTATCTGAGCAGATCTGCCTCTCCCCATCCTTCAGCGAACCTACCCGAGGGAGTCCCATAACAAAAGGTTCTGGATCAGGCGTTCAAGTCCTGTCACCCAAGGAAAGCCCCAGGATGACCCATCCAGAGGAGACCTGGAATTCCTGGAACTCGGTCAAACTCCCGACAGCGCATTTCTAGCCTCCCCCGGGCATAACTGAGGTTTGGTGGGAAAGCGGGAATGGGTGGATTGTGCTGAAGGAATGTGCCGTTCGCAGAAGCAGGGAGGCCGTGTAAATGGATCTGCACACTCTGTGAAGAATTTTCCATGATGACATGCTTGCCTGACACACCAGCAAACCACACACAGGGCTCTCTGCCCTGTACCCTCTTGGCAGTTCCAGAGCACCTCTGAAGGCCTCAAAGCATCCTTTTTGGGGGGGACACGGGAAACAGGGTCCTGGCCACAGAGAGCGCGCTGTATAGCTGGACAAACCACTTACATGTGAAATAACCAAAGGACATTTAGATACTAACCAGCCCTAAAGGAAAACCAAAATACTAAGAAGCAACCCAAAAGTGTTTTTGTTTTCTTCCATAGCTGGAGGTGGAACCCGGGGCTTTGTGCATGCTAGGTGAGCACTCTGCCACTGAGCTGCTCCAGCCCCAAAAGGCTTTGGAAAAAACTAAGCAAGAGAATGAGGAAGCACCAGGGCCCCCGTATGTTGACGTTAAACAGATGGAGACAGAGCAGCCTTACTTAGCTTTCCTCTGCCATTCCTGAGACTGATCCTAAACCATACAGCTTAAAGTAAAGCACATGAAAAGAACACCTCCAAGGGGAATGGAATCACAGAGGACATAGGGTCACCACCTCTGGTCACCTCAGTGGCTCTGTGGGGAATGGGAGATGACAGAAGACAAGCTGTCCCTGTTTTCACAACAAGGAAAAGGGGGGGACTCTAGAAACCGGAACGCAAACCTGACCTCTCGGAAACTTCTGCACAGGGAAGAGGATGACTGGAACATTCAGAAGCAGCGGTGGGAACGAGGAACGAGAACCTCGTAAAGATTCGCCGAGGCCAGCATGACCTGTCCTCTAAGTGCATCCCTGTCTGAGAGCCTTGAAGTCCTGTGGAATGCGGTCCATCTAGATTTCAGCAAGGCCGTCACAGACGGGCTTAAAGATACTCTTGCGGACAAGACAGAAACGTGGGGTGGAGCTAGCTCTGGCTGTGTCCTTCCAAAGGCAGACTAACGACCCACCCCAGTCAGTACTGGTCGTGACCAATTCAGACCGAGGTCTCCACGATCATCTATCCTCAAGGTTTTGCCTCTCCCACATTTCCACCTGACACAGTGAGGACACTGATAGCTTTCTAATCCTATGTGTAGAAGATGCAGAATTCAGGATGAGGTGGCGGCTAATGGTGCAGTGGTAGTCCTGAGACTCCCAATCATGTGGACAGAAAATACACAACAGCGGGTGCGGTGGCTACACCTGTAATCCCAGCACTCAGAAGGCTGAGGCAGGAGGATGGCTGCAAGTTGGAGCCAGCCTGAATTACATGGCGAGACCTCATCTCAAAAAAAAAAAAAGAAAAAGAAAGAAAGAAAAGACAGACCAAAATTAAGATAGTGTAAGCCTTTTAAGTTTTCAAGTCTTACACTTTGGATTAGAAAAGAGCAGTATAGGACTAAAGGGAAAGTCCTTGGTTTTAGCTGATCATGAATCAACAAACACAAGGTAGCTGCCAAGGGAAAAGTAAACAAATCTCAGGCCGCCTGAGCTCGTATCTACCAGGGCGGGAGGACTGAGGCCATTGTTCTACAGGGTCAGCACCGTGAGACACTGTTCCACTCTGGGTGTCAGACTTCACACGACATGTTCACCAATGGGCCAAGAGCCAAGGGGAGACAGGTGGCTTTGTGGATAAGGATCTACCTCCCCATGGGCTGCTGCCCACAGACTTCTGACAATGAAAAGTGTGTAGACCAGGAATGAGCACCCTCTGTAGGGTGCAGTGTGGTAGGGCTGCTGCATTCCAGCTTCAGCATGGCATGTGCCAGACTCTGGGGCTAACAAGCCATGAAGGGACGGAATCCCCGCTCCTACTCCAATGGATGACTTGGGACGATGCTGGCGTTAAGCGGGCACCAGGCCAGAGCTGAACACCTGCAATCCCCAGGTCAGCCCCACCCGCGATGCCAACACAGCTGCCCCAGACACACTGGCTGGCCACACGCAAACCACCAGTTGGGAATCAGAAAAGCAGACACCAAAGCACAAGAGCTGTCAACTCAGGGTGGCTAAAGAGCACAGCAGCACAGAGAGGTGGAAAGGCTGGGCGTCCCCCTTCACACTGCCAAGGATGGTGGCATGAGTCCTGTAACAGCTCGAAGCCTCGCCCTGGTTTATCAGGGAACCAGCCTCACGAGCTTTCCGCCTGACTTCTATTATCTCTGCAGGCTCCTCCACGCTGCATAGGAGCCACACCAAAGGCTCTTGAAGGTCACAGGGCTAAGAGCAACGCAGCAGTCCCGCCCATGCCCACAAGGCAGAAAGGTAACACAGGAGACTAGGGCTCCGTGGTGCAGGCCGCTAGGTTTGTGGGCTGCAGGGCAGGCTCCTCCAGTGCCTCAGCCGCCTATGGTTCCCAAGTAGCCCTGCTGGGAATCAAGCATGGCTCTACCCCAGTGATGGGGACAGGGAATGACCCTAGTGCTGCTCGATGTCACTTAGCTTTCACATGGCTCTTGCAGGATGCAGCACAATGGAAACCAGGCACAGGAGAGGTCTGGATGTGGACTTCGGTTGCCAGCTCCCCACTCCCATCACATGTAGTGGTGGCTTTGGTTGGGCTGCTTTGCTGACCATGGCTGTGATTCCATGGGATAAGGAGGCCCCTAACCGGTCTCCCAGAACAGGATAGCTGCCCTGGAGGGAGATCATCCGTAGGCCAGGCCAAGGGCGTGGGGGAGGCAGGCAAACACCTTGTGAGACAAGATGCCCCGTCCTCAGGTTAGGGAAACAGCTCGCACAGGAGGGGGTGGCCCCTGCTCACTTTAACTTGGCTCCCAAATTCATACAAGACAATATTTTCCTTTTCCATCCACGCCTGGAGGATGATGGGAGAAGGGGGTCTGCACACGGCCCGGGACAGGCTCTTGTTTGGGGATGGAGTACAATTCCCTGCCTCTGTCACCTTCATCATAAAGTGCTGTGATTTACTGAGGGCTTACTGCGTGCCAAGTGGTGTGCTCAGCATTTTATGCGCCTTTAGCTCATTTAATGAGGACAGAATCCTGCTGGGAAGATACTATCATTTTTTCCACTTTGCAAATGAGGATTTGAGGCTTCAAGAGGTTAAGGAAGTAGCTCGAGGTGCCAGTGCTAAAAGCAATGAAGCTGGGACTAGAACCCAAGGCCACCTGGGTCCTAACCACGGTGAACCTATCCCTCTCCCCACAAAGGCCACAGGAAGGAGGCCTGCACACACTTCCACCCCTCCCACCAGCTGAAAAAACAGTGCCCTAAAGCCAGTCCAGCCACTCTGAGCGAGCCCTGCAAACCAGCGATATCCTTGTCCCTGCGCGGAGCAGGAGAGGCCAGCTGTCCAGACCCTCCTTCCCAGGGGCTCACCATCCACGCAGCCCCTCATGCCCGTGAGACCTGCAGTTTCCCACGCAGCCTCCCCTTCCTGGAGGAGACTCATCTGGACAGCTGGGCACACCCAGGGCCCTCACACACAGGCAGGGCAGGGCCTTCCCCTTCAGGGTTCGGGGCAGGGGAAACTGAGGCCAAAATGTGAGCCCAATTCAGGTCACAGCTCTTTGGCACCCACAGAGAGACTACAGGCCCTGGCTGCAGCTCCTCCTCGCAGCGGCCATTTCTTCCAGATCACAGAAAACTTTCCTTTACCCAGGATGCAGCCTCCACAACCTGCCTAATTCTAGCTTCAGAGGGACCCAGGGGGTGATGGTGGTTCACGAGCTGAGCCCCCGTACTTGTTGCTGGCTGCAGTGATGCACAATTTATTTGGTTCCTCTGCCTGGAAAGTGAAGCAGGGCTAACTAACCCTCGTCTGCCCATGCGCTCAGTGGTATGGAAGAAAACT